AGTGGTATTTAAAGAATTTAAAGCAAAAACCCCACCAACACTAAAGAAAGGGGACCAAAAATCAATGCTACTTGCAAAAACAGACATGGCAGAGGGGATATAGGGAAAGATTGATCCACGAGTTGCAAAAACCCCATGTTTCTCTGTTTCTACCTGGAACACTTTAAAGGTGTACCTTTAGCCAAGATGCAGTAGTTAACCATGAAAGTAATCTTGGTCCAATTTGGTACCAAGTAAAACCACTTACTTAACCCTGGAAAGCAACACCTTCAAATCAAGGGTGCTGTGTTCCCCATGAAGAGGCAGAAGCCTAACTCAAAAAGCCATCAATCTAAGAGGAGGGAGTTTGCAATAGCAAAACCAGTACACCCCTAGGAGTCACTCTCAAGAAAGCTGTGGTCTCTCCATGTCCCTCTCCTAGATCACAACTGCAGCACAAGTGAAACCAAATGGTGGAGCAGAGCACATTGCCAGACACACACTAGTCTCCTGACACTGCAGACAGCCAGCAAGTCCCAAGACCCCTAAGCCAGGGCACCCAGATGAGCAGAGACCTTCCTGATGGTGATACTTCAGTGACATATCCCACATCCCAGCTAAGGGGAGAAGAGCAGCCTCCCTTCCCAGAGATCTCTTTGGGTCCCAATAAAGTTACACTAGCCATAATAGCTTTGTTTTACGTATTGCGTGTAGTATAATATTGGAAATTGGTCTGCAGTTATGTAATTGCAAAGGAAATGGCTATGATTCTTAGCCCAGCTGAAAATGCCATCCCACCATGCCTCTGCTGCAGACATAGCTCCTGGGGGCCGCAAGGGAAGAGCGCCCATCCTGCCTGCGAGTAGAGCAGCAGCGGAGGCAGAGGTGCTCAGGAATACGCTTATACTTCACCGCCTGTCAGGTTTTCCATTGCAAACACTGCCGCCACAGTTTATAGCTTGACCATTTCAAGCCACATCCACGCAAAACTTGGCAGACAGGGAGCTGCTTTGGCCCAGTCCCTCCCCCTTCTACCTTAAAGAAATCTCTGTCGGATTCCTGCTTTAAAGTCACAACATTTCTTTTCTGCAGCAGAGATACATTTTTAAGTCATTCCACAAGGCTTTTTCAGTTAAGGTTTAAAAGAAGCCTAGGTACTTGACAGACAAGACTTGAGTCAACTATTCACATTGTTATTCTGAAACAGCTCAGAAATGTTTAGATAGCGTTGGACAGTGCAGGCTGGTTACACAGTGCCTTTAAACAAATCACAGTCACTTCTAGCAAGGAACACAAGCCCTGGAACTACAGCCTGTTCCCAGACACCATCTGTAGAGACTGTAAACCTCTGTTCTTCTCCTGATTCATCTGTGACCATTGCTACATGCAGATTTTCCTCCTCAGCTAAGGAAAAAAGAAAGAGGTAAATATCCATCAGATACATCAGGCACACTGTGGGTCTTCTGCTGATGCAACTAGAATTAAGGTCGAAGGACAATTTTTGTCATTTTGTTTGTTGAGCCAAGATAGGCATTTGCTGCAAAAACCAAGTGTTGAAGTCTGAGAGCTGGTACATTACTAAATAATTTGTTCTGAAGTATAGAAATCCTACAGATTTCTTTTATTCCAGCAACAGTTGGGTGACAGCGACCCATGGGCTTCATAACCAAGATGAAGGGTTTCAAGAATTATTCACCACATATGCTACGCTGACCTTGCTTTTAAGTCATAATACTGAACAGAAGTCTCAACTTCAAATGACGTCCAAGTCATAACTTCCATTGGCACAATAATGAAGACAACCTTATCCAACTCTTACTGAAAAAGAAAACTAAGTATGAGACAAGGCTCTACCGAATGGGCTTGTGCGTATCTGCCTGCAAGATGCCTTAAATACCATCTGTGGGAAAAGTAACACTGAATAATACTATACAGTAAATGCAACACACTTACTTAACGTAAAGTTAATGTAGCTTGATGATAATCAGGTAAGACTTCAATAAATCAGTCACCAGATTTTCCTTCCCTTCTACCTCTGCCCTATATACACTGGCCTTTAAAGCAGAGCTTACTTCCTTTCAGGGGGGTACACAATTTGCAGGCAAACATCAGAGGAGACGGTGACACTTGCTCAGGCCCTAGAAGTGTTCAGAAGAAAAAACCCAGCAGGACATGAACCAGGCACCATTGTTCGGAAACTAGTTTTGAGCTTCCTTGTGTAAAAAGCATAGGGCCACTTGACCAGTAAAGAGAAGGTGTTTCTTCCCTACAAAGCCATGCAACAGAGCCAAGTTAAGGTTCTTCCCACTCCGGGAAACAAAAGAACCATTTAAGTGTCCCTAGGCATTAGCAAGCAACCCTATTCAGGCAAGGTTTTAAAATCAAGCAGTCACCTGTGCCTTTTCATGTCTAGCTTCCCCAAAGTACAGTTAAAAAACCCCCAAACCAGACATATGATATACAGATGTATACACACAAGGAAGTTTGAGATACTGGCCAGGCAGCGCATCCAATGCGCACTGTCCAGTCTGATGGGACTTCTCAGCCACACAGCTAACAAGCAACCTAGCCATACTTCCTTCCTTCCATTGAAGAAACTGTCCCTGCTGCAGGTGACATCCGTAATACTTTACATCACTTTTGTCCGTCTGGATCAGGAGAACAAGTTTAATTTATACAATTGCAGCTATAGTTTCACAACACTTCGGAAGCCAACATAACCATACAGTCAGATGAATTACTACACATGTGCATAGTCCAATAATCTTATTTTCTTGAAAAGTGTATCCCCATGTTCTTAGAAGTCATAACTGCATCTACTAGGCTTGCTTGCCTACACTGAAATTCAAACAATAACTCATGAGTTTTAAAAGTTGACACTTCATAAACTTTTGCTAGTTTCATTACACGCCATTCACAGGTTTAGCTATAGCTGAAGAGACAAGAAGTCATAGTGTTGAAGTCATTCCTGTGGTATCCCTAACCTAGGGGAGAGAAAGAGTGTATGTGTGGAGTCCTGTTCTTGGAACAACTAAAACATGATTTCCCTGCCAGAACAGTTTAGACAAGCATCCAAAGCAAATGATGCTCTCTCCATCACCAATCTGTGACTTAAGGGTTTTTTAAAATATATATCTCTTATACATACATACATACATACATATATATATACAAAAATATATAGGGCAAGATCATAGCATGGAGTTTGCGGCTTCAGACCTCCTTCCTTGTTTACATGGACATCAAGAAATCTGGCTGCTAAGGATCAGAATATGGTCTTAAGAACCGTAATCCAAATTCAAGGCTGTTTCCTAAGAAGAGTCACATTTCTAGACCCACTAATTAAATTCTAACCCTGACACTCTCTCCATTTATATCTCCAAATACTATATGGTTCAATACAATATGATGTGAACCATGCAAGGCAGAGGCCACACTAAAAGTAAACACAAAGGAACTGTAATTTGGAATTCATACACTTCTTGCATTATTTAACAGCCAAATTCCCTTGGCTCCATAAGCCATTATCCAAGACAGGGATATCATCAGATACGAATGCAAGTTGCCACAATAACCAGGCTTGTTCCGACAGCAGCAACACCTAGTGTTGACAATGAGGAGCCATCAAGCTTGGAAGGGAGGATGCTTGTCCACTAGCCCAGACACAGTTTAAGAAGTTAAGACATTTTCCCCCCTTCAATCATAATGATTGCTTTAAAGTGGGGCAGATGAGCATCCTGACCTCTACTAGTTTCACAAGTGATACAGTCAGTACCCAGGAGACAGGCATTTCTGTTCACACTAGCCAGTACATTTCCACACACTATCCTTTTGGACACCATGCTAAATCACCGGCCAGAAACTAACTGCATCGCTTTGAGCCAAACAAGCATCAGGCCTTCATACAGCAGAGAAATTACCGCTCCATTAAAAGAACCAAAAAAAAAAAAAAAAATTACAATGTATGGTCAGCATTGTGGATAACATGACTCAGAGCTCTGGAAGATGGATTTGAGTCCCAGATCAGGGTGCCCTGGTTCCCCCAAGCTCTGGCATGCCCAGCACACACTCCAGAGCCAGGCAGTTGTGACAGCCCTGCACATGGAGCTACCACGACATGAGCTTTTGCTTGAACGACTCCAAATGCCAGCAGTTCCTCTGGATGAGGACACATAAGTCACGAGCAAGCTGGAAACTAGTCCTGGACAACAGCTCTGGATTAATACAGAGGGAGTGCTGGAGGGGAGGAGGGGGAGCTGCTGAAGACAGGCAGTTACTCAAACCAGCTGCTAACCTGCTCCAACCACGCACATGCACACAGTCTCCTGCATTTGTTCAGCCTGACTGAAAGCTACCAGGCATCCAAGAGTTAATGTACAAAAAAGACATCTATACAAACACTTGCCAAAAGTCTCATTTTCCAAGTGGAAGCTGGTTGTTCCACGGATGGCAGAAGGAATTTCATCTTGCTTTTACATGACCGCCTCTGCCTCAAAATTCCCCAATTAACACTCCTGCAAGAAGTTTTGAAACTGCATGGCCACGTATTTATCTACGCACACCCTCTCCCTTCCCTACCGAGCTGTGGGCCACGGGCTCAGCTGTCAAGCCAAGTTTCATCCCAAGCAATTTTTAAACACTCATCCTATAAATCCTCCAAAAAGGGAGTTAGTAATGGAAATGCTGACAGAGACTTGAAAAGACAGCAGGGCAACTAAATCAGTCTTCTATACATTAGCTTCATTAGCTGCAGATCCTTCTCTGCCTTCACCTTCATTTTCCATTAGTGTACTTTGGCTAATTAACGCACAAAACCTATGAAACATTCTTACAGTAGAAGGCAACATTTGGCCCCCAGCCCAAATCAACATTGAGAAACTTCAACATCCTCAGCCAGACATAGTAACTGTACCAGATGGAGCTAACGTACAGCTACAAGTAGTGATGAGGAAACCGAAAGAAGAGGAACACATGCAAAAATTGGACCATTGGAAGAGGGAAAAGCAGCAAACGTGTCTTACCGCTTTCGTTTTTCTCTATGACATCCACGACCTCTCCAGCCTGGAGGCTGATCTCAGAGTTCTCCTGCTTCTCATAGTTGGACACCACCACATATTGCTCCAGGATCATGGGTTCAGAGCTAGCATCAGCACCTGGGGAAGGGAAAAAGCAAGCCGTAAGCCAGCTTCCAGCCATGGCTCCTTGAGAGCGACCTCCGTCCATCCGATGCACGACAGGCCAACTTGTCACCAGAGCCAAGCAAATCAGCAAACAACCTTGGCTCGCAGCATATCCCCAAATGGCTGGCCATATAGAAATAGCCTCCTCTGGCCCACAACCCAGCAGCACAGAGGGACATCGGAGAGAAGAAAAAGAAAAAAGGGAGGAAAAAAATACGAAAAGAAGCTGAAAACAGTGAATTAGTTGCAAAGTTTCATGATGGATTCTGAAAATAAACCTCTTCCCAACATGGTTTCCACAATCCTTGCTCCCATTCAGAGAGAAAAATCCTGGGCAGAAGCAGCATAAATCCACAGCTGAGCCATCCCCCCAGTAAACCCAAAGGAAAAAAAAAAAACAGCTCTCCCCTTGGCGGCTCAGCTCCTTCTCCACTCTAAAGGCTTGAGCTGAAAGTCAAGAGGGGGCTGTAGATGCCAATCATATTCGTCCGCACTGCAGCCCTTAAATAGAAACACATGAGCGGGATTGAAAGAGAGGGAGGTGGGGTGGAGGGAGAGAGGGGAGGGCGGGGAAGAGTGTTTACTTGAAACAGAAGAAGAAAAAAAAAAGTTATAGCGCCAGATCCTTGCTCAAACACGGCCACCCCCCGCCTGCCCCCCGCCAGCTCCGCAGTTCCGCATTCCCCGCGGCAGAGCAGCCCCGAGCGGGACCAGGGCAGAGCGCGTGCCGGCTTCCCCCTCTCCATCGCCCTTCGGCGCCTTTTTGGAGCCCTTGGAGCCAACCTCTCCAGTTGTTCGGTTTCTCTTTGTACCGCGGGCTTTCGGCTGTCAGAGCCATTTATGAATGAGAGTAGGCTCTCACACAGAGGGGTGGAAAAAAGGTGCAAAATAACCGTTCTCCTCCCTTCCCCCACACTCCTGGAGTTTCTTCTTGGGTTTTGATTTCTGACTTCTCTACCCCCAACCCGAAACTGTGCATTTTGGGGTGGAGCCGCGAGGCAGGCACACCACTGTGCCAGACGTGGAGGGAGACCTCCTCTCGCTGCTGCTCGCCGTATGAGATGCATCTCGGCTCTCCGGTGCAACATAAACAGTGCAGATGGGGGCCTCTGCACTTCCAAGCCCAGGCACAAACCGACTGTGCTCTGCCTGGAAACTGCCTTGAAAAGTCATGAAAACCTTTAGGACATCAGGGTTTCTTAATTCGCCCTTATTCATATACTCTTCAAAGTGTCAGACCAGAGCAAAAAGCACCTACAACTTCTGTCTAAGAGCCAACATGCCCTAATGCAAAATTATTTTACAGGTTTCCTGAATTACAGCAGCGTGTATTAGGGCAGAGTGGTTGGGCCAACAGCATTATTATACATTTTACATATTAAGAGGCAGTTCCTGTCTCTTTAGATTAAGACGCAGATGGAAAGCGGAGACAGAAGCAGATGTATGACTTGCTGAAAGTCCCATTTCACGTGACGGGGGCAGAGCCAGGAGCAGACTCCAGGTCTCCTGAATCTCTGAAGACAAATTGGCTACAAGAGATGGGAAGGAAGCAGCACGGTCTGAAACTCCACCAGACAAGTCAGGGGACTGACAGCCAAGCACAGGATGCTCGGCACTGTGTTTCTAAACGCAGCATGTTCATATGCGTTTAGGCTGAAGATCCAAAGTGATTCTACAGACAAATAATTAGCATCCCTGCCAAGAGAGAGGTAAAGAATGCATCAGCCATTAAAACAGCATCCTGTGAAATGAAAATCCTAGAACAAAAAGCAATTAATTCAACCATTTCCTGAAAGGAAACACTATCACAATACCTCCCTTTGGACCAGATTTAAGAAATCCAGAAAATCAGAAGACTTCCTTGCTCCCTAAGCGTGCCTCTGACTCTCCTCAGGTTACGTAGGTTAATTTTCTTTAAAGAGGAGTCATCTCCTCTAGAAGTTTGTGTTTAAGAGATTTAGCTTTTGTATAGATAGTTGAATCACAGCCAGTAGCAGGAATAGGGGGAGAAGACCATGAACTGACAACATTGAAATTTATAATAAAAATTTTCATGATAGCTGTGCATTCCAAGTAAGCATCATGTTTCTGCTCACAATGAATCAACTTGACTTGTGTGTTCTGCTTTAAACCAGTGCTAATTGGGTTACCTAGACTGTGATGAGATGCCTTCCCCTGTTTCACACTGCTTCCCACACAGTCCCTTCTCCAGTCCAGAATAGGGCAGCATTATCATCTTCCCCCAATGTATTTATGCTAGTAACACCTACAACCCCTACTTCATTTTAGTCTTAAGATAAATGCCAGTTCTCTAACCAGAAACAAAAGCCATTTATGCATGTACATCAGCAGAGAATTAGGTGTGTGGAAAGGCAAAAGGAGGGACCAAACGGTGGCAGAGGGAGCAGGGGACATGCAGGAAGCTACCTGCTAAATAGACATCCCAACCATCTTACTTCCTCTAATCTCCTAGATAGTTTTCATGGGAGTAGAGCAAGGAAAACCCAAAACACAGCACTGGCTTGGTGGCAGGAGCAGTGCTCCTGTGATACACTGTGATTCCCTGCTGGGAACAAGGAGAGGACCAGGCTGGAGCGCAGACTGGCAAACACCCCACCATCAGCCACTGAGGCCAAGCCAGGGACCATGTGCCAGAGGAGCACCCTTGCCAGGAAACCCAGAGAAGCAGCACTTCAAATCCACCTCCGCAGCTCTGGCTCCGAAAAAAAGTGGGTTTACAACAGTCTGGTAAGTTAGGTTATATCTGCACTCACATATCTGAAACCAGCAGGACTTTAGGATGCCGTTTACTCTGTGCTGCCTTGGAAAAGGTACTTGCTGCAGGAAGATTTGTCACTACAGTGGCTGGTGCAACATATACAATTAAGAGACTGTTTTAACAGAAGCTTGTATAAATGTTAGAGGCTTCCTATTAAGACAAAAAAAGTAGAGTGATAAATTCCTTGGTCTAGGAAGTAACCAAGGTCAAACAAACTTGTTCATTTACAGCTACAGCAGATCATGCCTAGATGATATCCCCTTTGGAGCAGTGTGGTCCCTGTGGCTCCCAGAGCGATGCTCACCCAGGGTTAAGCACTGCACAGTGGGGAAGGCTTCAGTAACAGTAAAGGAGGAAAGAGGAAGGAGAGGAAGACAGACGACAGAGAAACGGCTCCTCCCAGCAATCAAAAGCCTTAAACATTTTCTGGGTAGGCTGGTTTAGGTTGTTACTGTATTCCCTTCAGTTACAGTCAGTAGGGTAAAAAATTTTAACCCTCCTCAGCCTTCCATCCCCCACAAGCATCTTTAGATGAATTACTCCTCAATGACACTCAGGATGCCTACAACATTGCTGGTATGTTATGTCAGACTGCAGGTTTTCCCCGCAAAGGGGATTCAAAAAGAACAAGATGGGCAACACTACAGAGAGCACAGCACCAATTACACACGCTGCCGTGGGCACTTCCACATCCCTGCCAATTAGCTCAGGTCTAATTTGTAACACAGGACGCAGCATCTCATTGAAGAGTAACAGCCTGCTCAGTGTGAAGCACGCCAGAGAAGAGGGATGCAGAGTGGCAAAAGTTCCCCAGCAAGCTCATATGCACACTGCAATGCCCCCCTGACATTACAGCCCCACTTTCTTAAAAGCCTCTTCAGCCCAGGCAGGAGAAACGGAGAGCAGAGGACAGGATAAGGCTCATGTGCCAGGTAGAGTTCCCCCCTCCTCTCCCCCAAAAAAGCAGAATTAGTGTTTTGGTTTAGCTCCAACTTGCAAGCCCTCCCCAGAGCAGAGCACACGATAGATCACTGGCTGAAATAAGAGTTTGCTTGCCTCTCCGTTTCTTTTTGCCTCGAGTCCGTTTCCTGGTTAAAGTCTTGAGGATACCCCTCCTCCTCTCCATAGGGCTCCACTTTACAATCCTCCTGCTCCTCACCTCAACGATTCCCTTCCTGGGGCTGGGCAGAAATGTCATCGGAGCTTGTCCATGCCCCTCACAGCTGGCACTATTAAGTGACACAGTTGCGCCCTGTCCCCCTCACCAGGCAGCGAGGAGGGAGCATCATTCCTCCCACTGTACTCAGAGACCAGCAGCTACTGTGAAAGCCTCCTAAATAAGAGCGCAGAGCACCCGTTCCAAGCAACGTCTTCCTCCTCCTCCTCCTATGTTGCAACAGCTAAGGCCTACGATGGTTTTGCAATAGCCAAAAATTAAAACCACCAACTGGACTCCAAAAATAAAATCATCTGGATATGGAAATCTGAGACTCCTGATCTTTGCCAGAATACTCTGTTGTTATCAGGCTATAAACATGTCTGCTCTTTTAATCCATACAGCGCACAGGCTTTTATATTGCCCTTTTATGATTATCAATCAAGTGTTTACAGATTCAGACTAAATGAATTAGTACTGGGCTGGTCAGTGGAAGTTTTGCAGAAGCAGCCAAACCCACAGAAACGGTCAGTGAACGCCATAAGGATGATTCACAGCTGAACAACCAACTGCCAGGTAGTCCAGCTCTTCTGACCTGGGCACAACTGCTGAGGACACGTGCAGGGTCTGCACGCAGGGGCGTCTGGCAGAAAGCATCCCCGACTGTCACAGCTTTCCATACGATAAAGTTAGAGCTTCACATTTTTCTGCACATAGGGAGGAGTAACTGTGGTAGCTTGGATCTAGACCTGTGGTTTCTTGTTAAAGCCAATTCTTCAAGGGTAAGCCTTTATGTATCTCCAGAAAACTCCTTTTGGGGAAGGAGAAAAAAAAAAAAAGAAGAAAAAAGAATACCCAGAATAGCAGCAAGCCTACTTAAAATCCTCAAATCAGTCTATCCCCTCACAACATATACCCAGCTCTAAACACAGGGATTTTCCTCCCCTTAAAACTCTACCTCTTTTCTTTCTTATCAGAAGGACCATGTCACTATGATAAATAAACATATTGAAACTGCATGTTTTCTTTCAGCCTTCC